AGGCTGCTAAGATTCTAGAACAAGAGAACTTGCTCCGAGCTGCTGTAAATGGTGGTGAAGGTTACAATCTCAACTGCCAATATCCATGCACATATTTCTCTGTATTTCTTGTTCCTTGGTTTTTTTCCTTGAGCATTTAAATTTTGCACTCTTGTACTTGGAGAGTATTCATGCACATATTTCTCAATAGCTCTTGTTCCTTGTTTTTGGCTAGAGCATAATTGTACTCTTGTACTTGCATTATATGCATTATATGCTTGCAGGCCTACGAGTAACTGGAGACCAGAGACAGATGACATCTGCACTTCCGGTGCATTTGGTGGATGTGCTGGCTGTGTCCGATGGAATGCATAGCTTCTCTGATTCTTCTGGTATTAAATCATCACATTGTGTACAAAAGTGGCTGTTCCTTATAATTTATATTGGAGATAAAATAATGCTGTGGAGGAGACTCTGAGAACATTCTCTTACAGGGATGTATATGAAGAATACTCCGCCAATTTCAAATAGCATCAATAACCAAGGGTCTTTATTACAGGTTAAATCAATGGTTCTTTCTTAAAGGCACATTCTTAATTCTATATATATGTGCATTTTTGGACATCTTGCCTTTTTATTTAGCTGTGCAAACATGTTTTTTGTGGTTGGTTGTGTTGTAGACATGCCCAAATTTTTTTCTGGGGTGGAAGGTCACACTTTGCTTGGTTGCTGTATCCCAATTGTTACCATCTCACTGAAACTCTTGGTTATTTGATGGATGGTTATATGAGATGCTTTGGAAATGTATAATGTAGACTTGTGGATGCATCAATGTGAAAGTGAAATTGGAATTAAGTAGCCAAATAGGTGTTTTTAAGCAAATCTTAGGAAAGCAATCCTATCAAATGAATTTTATTTACCATATATTCTTTTGTGATGAAAGAAGTAGAACCTTGATCTGTTGCCTCGATTGTATGAGTGCTCATATGATTTTTCTCTATGGATTTAAAGTTGTACCATTTTTTATCTTCTGAACTTATATTGTAGCAGCCTACTGGAACACCAGTTCATGGAAGATCAGCTGCATCTCCTTCTGCTGCCACGAGTGCCACTTCATTTGACCACACAACACCATCCCCGCTGCCATATGCCAATTCACCTCGGTCTGGTACAAACATGATGAACACACCTTCTCCTCAGCAACAAGTTCAACACCAGCAACAGCAGCAGCAAAGGCAAAAGATGATGCAGTTACCTCAGCATCAGCATCAGATACTTGCTCAGCAACAGCTGAGGCAATCTTCTTTGCAAGCTTTGGGACAGGTGTTGGTTTTTTCTGATTCTTGAATTTTTCTTGTAATCTCTTCTTTTATGATTGGCTGACTTAACAATCAAATTTTATTTCTTTGTGTTTTGTGTGTATGAAACCATAACATTTATGGCATTTTCCAAATGCAGACACAACCTTTGAATTTTTAATTTTTCATGAGGAAATCATGTCTCAAAGTTTAGAAGATTCACATTCTTATACCCTTTGAAATCTGCCTGTGTCTCTATGTATGTCTAAGAATAATTGTTGGTAAAAGGTCATCTTTAGTTTTGAGTTGGATCAAAATGAATCCTTGCATTTTTGTAGCTTTTCTGAAACTTTGTGGAGGCAACAAAATACTTTAATTGAACTGAACTTTCTATTTCACCGCCTAGAACTACTACATATCCGTTGTCCAACTTCTTTGAATATTTAGTCCCAGTATGTTTTCTGTCCATTTCATTATAATTATCATTCTTATTACTAGTTCTCTTAGATCATATCTTTGAGTTATTAGCCAGTTACACAAATTATTTTTTATAATTATATTTTCATAACAATACAAATCGCACTACTTTATCGAACAATTTTAACTTGTTGTGCAGAACCAAATGTCACAAATGCATGATTTACAGAGCCAGGGTCAGCAGAAGTTTCAGCCGGTAACCTTATATTAGCTTCTTTGTCATCATTTCTAATTTGGCCCACCATTTCTTGATTGTTTTTCTGTATCTGTTTCTTCTCCCGTTACAGCGTATGTCCGAACATTTATGTGCCTTTCAAGCCTTTTGTCTTAAACTTTTATTTTGGCATTTGGTTTTCTGCTATCTACAAAGTACGGGCTAAGCTAACAAGAATGCTTGTTTTACTAAGTGAAAAATTTTAAGAGACAAACATAAGCCACCTCACCTACTCTCAATACACATAGTTTGTTATTTCATTGCACAAAGCCTCTTGCATCTCTACCAATATCTCAAGTCTGGCTCATGTGTTTCACTCTCAAGTTGTGTGAATTATATCTAAGAAATATAATTCACATTTTGGGCTCATGGGCATCACTCTTGAAGTTGTGCCTCGTGATCAGAAATTCTAATATGCTACTAGAGAGATGTATGTCTGAAATTTCAATTTTAAGCTTTCTCCTGTACGTTTGCTTTTCTTCTGTGTTACAATCAAGGGGGTTTTGTGAAAGTTTGGGGTGATAAGATATTATCAGAGAGCACGCTACATAGATCTCAGTTGTGTGTCAACTTTATTGATTTTAATACACTGATATGAAAGTTGCTTGACCAGTGCAAAAAGGAAGTTTTATGTGCATATGTTCTATGCTTCACCTTTTCCTTTTTTAGAAATAATTTCTTGGCTAAATTTAATGTCTCACAAGTTACATGGACAACATCAGATGCAGTATTCTCAACCAATGGGCCACCAGCAATTTCAGAGTAGGCAGCTATCCTCCGGACATGTTCAGCATGGCATGGGTCAAAGCCAACTCAATCAAGGAAATCAGTTAAATCGTCATTTAAGCCAGTTTTCTAGTGCTGCTAATACTTCATTGTTCAATACTGGTCAGGGAGCACCAAACACCCAGATGGTCAGATATGTTGATTATTTCTAGTCTTGTGCTATCCATCTATATTTCTTGTTAAGTGATCAGGTTGCATATTACACATGCTATGACATGTACTAGTATTAGAAAACACCATTCAATTTCAGTTTGTGGTGTCATTTGATTTCATTTAGCTTTACCTTATCTTGCTATCAAAGCTACTCTTGTGATATAGACATATAATTGTTCTTTTTTTACAAAAAAAGAATGTATCATCCAAAATTTGAAGCTACTCTTTCTCTCTATCAGCTGGTGCCAATAATCGACTATGAATGTACATGTAATTTAATTGTATTTGTTACGAATACATGAAGTTGATATTGATTCTAAGAGTTTAAATACTGGATCCTTCTTTGAGGTTACTGGTGTCCTGCATTGCTGAATTGCAGTATTTCAATGAGACCTCAATTTCATTATTTCACTTTTATTGCTTTTTGGTTTATCAACTTGAGTACACCTTCATAATTTGCTCTCTTGAATATTTATATTTCTTACTACCCTTATTTTTTCTATCTTTTAAACTGCTTTATGTCTTTTTAAGATGCATGCCCATTGTTTCTGCTCATAAATGCATACTGAATGTTTTGTTTGTATGGCGCCAGATTTTTGTATCGTGTTTCTTTTCTTTCTTTTTAGTTGAGTTATTTATCTTTTTAATATCATTTGCCCTTTTGATCCATCTTAAACTTATGTTTTGCTTGCCTCAGATTCCAAACATGTCTTCCACGATGTCATCACAGCCACGAATGCAGGTAAGCTTCCTGTGTGCTTTGCGAATTTATATTTTCTGTTTCCTTTTGCTTAAAGTGAAACGTGGAGAGGGAAAAGGAGGGAAGATTGGCTTCTAAGGTTCATTAGTGCATATTGGGTTCCTAGTCCACCAGAATTTACCCAAAATCTCTCATCAGGTATGATGCAACTAATAACATGGTGACCTCAAGTCATAAACAGGGGGCTTGATTTGGTGCCAGACAGATGTTCCAGCAGCATCTTCATGTTAACTCAATGTGCATGTAGTTTGATATTTATGATTTGCTTTTAAATGATGGGTCAAAAGGGTTATTCATTTCTGTACTGAATAATAGAAAGTTAGATGATGTTGCAATTTATTTCTTCTTGTTGAATTCACTACACAGTTTGGATTAGCTGGTAACAATCCCCAGAGGAGTCTTGCTTCCACGGTTCTTAATGATCAGAGTATGAACCTGTTCTGTATTTTTTTTTTCTCACCTTACAGTCATGCTTGGTTAATGAACTTGCAGTTATTTTCTGCTCGTTTTCTTTCTTTCTTCTGTAATTCATCCCTTTTATCAATTTGTTTTTTCTCCCTTGTTGGAATGGGGAGTTCTCTCTTGCTTTCCTTATCAGTCCCATGCAGGGCAGTGGCTGCATTGTGCTCATTTTGGCACACGCACAAAAAAACAAAAAACAAAGCAATTTTGCTTATCTTATGTTTATTAAAATCTTAATACATGAGGCTAAAGTTCAGTTTGCGGCCTTTGCTTGCAGTGTATAATATGGGAGTATCCAATCCTGGTGGTATGATGCCCATACAGCAGCAGCAGCAGCTTGGCTCTCAAGGTGCGTTTGGTAATATGCAACCAAATGTACAGAATTTACAGTCAAGCATGGCAGCGCTTCAGAATGCATCACAGAACCATCCCAATTTTGCTCAACAGAGACAGCAAAATCAGCAGTAGTCATGAAATAGCACTTTAATATTCATCATTTCTTTTTCCTGATGAAATATCTTGCATACATGCCAATGAGGCAATGGTTATCAAAATTTGCTATGTTGAAAGCATATGTATCCATCGGTAATTTTGGTGTGTATTCAGTGTGTCTTATTGTTTCATTAGATGATAGAGCACGTATCTTAAAGAGTTTATTTAACACGTTCGAAAGTTTTATTGTTGTTGTTTTTAAATTAAAATAATATTTTTTATTTTTTAAAAATTATTTTTAATATCAATATGCTTATATAAGATAAAAATATTAAAAAAATATTAATTTAAAGAAAAAAATTAAAATTTTTTTTAAATATTTTTAAATACAAAAACAAATCTATCTAAGCAATTGGGGGTCGATGTTTCACGTCAGTCCATCAATGTTTCACATTATTTTATTGCACAACCAAACCAGTCTGCTTTTATATTTACAGCACTCTATCCGGCACTCTAAATTTAACCATCTTGCCATGATGGTCAACACTCTCTTCCAAGGGATTCGAGAGTCGTGTTGATATTACATGTTTGAAAGAAGGTCACAGCCGTCAAACTATGTGCTGACAATGCACAAGACTGAAAATGAGAGAGTTAAGGTTGACACCATATAGCCCGTCTCGTGCTCGTTGCAACATGTAAGTTGAGAAGAGAAAAGAAATGAAAGAAGAAAAAAACTGTGGCTCGGGGCTGGTTTGTATGAGAATTTTTGTTATAACTGTATCTATGCAACTGTCTTGCTCAGTAAAATGGTGCTTCAGAGTTTCGAATGCAGTTAGTAGAAATAATTGCATCTGGTTCTTCGGGACAACGGTGGAGAAGAAGCAAGCTTGGAACAGAAGCCACAGCATCTCTGCACAAACCATTCTAGCCTGCATTGAATAGAGAGTAAATTAGAAATTTGTTGTTAACAACCCCCCCCCCCCCTCCCCCCCACTTCTTTCTTGAACTAAAATACTGTCAGAAATCCCCCTTTTCCTCCTCTCCCATGATGGGATAAATATCATGTTCCATCCTCCTCTATCCTGAATTTCTTCTACTCTCGGTGAGCTGGATTAATCTAAATCATGAGATGCTAATTGGACTTCATTGGGAGTCAAAAATAGCATATATATTATATTGGTATATGTTGCCTGTGGTTGAATTACCGTTGCAATTTTCCTGACAGTCAAGAATGGGCAGATTCCACTGTCTTTGGCTCACATTTTCCTGCTTTTGACTGGTTGGTCCATGTATTTAAACCGAAAGGAAATGGGAAAAAACCAACCAGTCAAAACTCAAAAAGTTCCAGGCAAGCTCGACCAAATCTAATGGGTGTGTGCAGGGTCGATTCGACATGAATTTCCTTTTCTTTTTGTTATTGTTTCTATTATAAAGTACGGTGCAAGTTTAGGTGATCCCAAAATGAAAGAGGAAACAGAGAGAGATTCATTTCTTTGAATGTCGTGCAAGGTACCACTACGAAAGAATGAAGCTAAAAAATAATTAAAAAAAAAACATTAGCAGCAGAAATGAAGTTAAAGACAGTTGTATATGCTTGGATTAAGTAAAATATATTTATTTAGCTAGTAGATAGGAAGATTGTCAGATTAGATGAACCAAGAAATATGCTCACAAGTCTTCAAGGCAAGAACTCTTAGAGTCCAGCGGATCAGGATCTGGCCGATCCAACGAAAAGGCTGAAGGCAGCCGTTTAGGACTAGCCAGCTTTTGAAGCAAGGGATGGAGGTTTTCAGAAGATGTGTGGCTAGAAAGAGGAGGGGAAAAGGGCGGTGAAGGAGAGGGGGAGCAGGAGAAATTGTACTTGTGATTTCCAGCTCCAATGCTTATGGGAAGAGGAGATGGTGGTGTTGGTGGTGAAGATGATGGAGAATCATAATCACACCCCATAAATGAAGAGTTAATCTCTCGACTTCTTCCTCCCTACCTCTCTATCTCCGAGTCCTTAAAAGGATAAACGAAGAATCTGTTAGATGTACTTTCCCGGGAGTTTTTGTTTGAGATGCAGGTAGAAAGTATAAACCTAACGGTCTAGGCCTCCTACCCTCCTTAAATCTTAATTGAGGGTTTTACGGGTGGTAAATATCGCGTTTTAAACTGCGGTTTAAAATAAAAAAAAACTATTAATATATTTTTAATTAAAAAATATTTTAAAAAATAATTATTTATTTATTAACGGTAATACAATGAAATTCTTTTTCATTTAATCATTTTAAATGGAGGAATTTTTTATTCATGATTTCTTTTTAATGGCAAGGACTTTCTGGAGTATTTAAGGGTTTTTTTAAAAAAAAAAACAGAGAGAGAAAAGTAAAAGAGTATCTAATATAGCACTATTGTTTGAAATGAAAAAAAATGTGAATGATAGTGCTATATTTATATTTAGAAAACAATATAATGTTTTCTTTGATAAAATATGAAGAGAGTTTAGCATTTTTAGAAAGAATGATGATGCCTTTAGAGAGGGAATTCAGCGAAAATCAATATACTAAGGACTAATTAAGAAAAAAATATTTAATCTTTGGGATTTAAATATTGTTTATAAATGGTAAGATTTTCATTAATTCTCTATTTAAATATGAATGATTTATTTTAAATTTGAAAAACAAATAAAGATAGTAACACTAAAACCATCATACAGACAACAGTTTTTCTTCTATGTTTTGAGAACTGAACCAATTAGATCCGGGCATCGCTGTGTCTTTTTATCAATGCCCATAAAAGATAAAATTTAAATGGAAATTTAATCGTCTTTTATACCAACCAATATTAGAGTGACAATTATTAATAAAAACAAAACGAAAGGACATTGAATGGTATAAAATATTAGATCCAGAACTTAGTTAACGTAAATCGTGTCTCTCTGGGGGAGGCTTCTTCCTTGTTCTTGTCAACGAACAAACTCATTCCCTACATGAAACACACATCACGGACCAATTACAACACAGCACGTAAACACACGCCGGTTCTTTCCATGACATGGACTCTGGCAATTGGGCACCTTTGCAAAAGAATGCTGTGACTTTATCACAGCTAAAAATCACGAGAGGCTAATAGTGATTCAAGTGCCTGTTTTTATCAAACTATAATTTTGTTAAGCTCAAAGCTTACGGTCTTGTCTTCCATGTTTTTTGTTACTTTTTTTCCTACTCTCTCTCTCTCTCTCTCTCTGTTTCTCTCAGCGCTGACTTGACAATATACAAGAAAACCCTAAAAACAAAAGGATCTCTAATCTTTTCGAACTCTCAAATGAATGCAGATATGTTTTGCTAAATATCAGGTAAGACCCATCTTTGCATTCTCTCGCTTTTTTTTCCTTCTAAATTCTATGTCTTCTATTGTTTTACGAATGATTTTTGTGCTAGGATTTAAATCTTTTTGTCTTGATAATGTAAAGGTTGATCATTTGGTGTTGAATTATTACTGAATTTGTTCATTTCTGTGAGTGTGTGCAAAATTTGAGCTAACGTCAACCTTTTTCTGCAATCTATTGGTCTAATGAAAACTACATGATGTTTTTTGCGTGTATAATCTTTAGCTCACTGTCTGCTATATAGCACTTTTTTGCAGAGTGAAAAATTATGAGCAATTATTTTTCTAGAATATATGTTTAGAGATTTGATTAAAATTTTGTTGTATATGTGCACTTTTAATGTGTGTTGATGGAAAATTTGGATAGGGTTTTTATTCTTTTTTAGTATAAGATTATTTTCTTGCTGTGTATACCATGAGATTTGGATATTTGATGTTGATGACTGTCTTCCTTGTCATCATTGACTTGGCATTCGTCGCATGTTGTTGTGTTATGTAACCTTATCCGGTTTTTAATTTGCTTGCAGGCTGCATAGTTTCTGCTGAGATGTTCTGTGCATATTGCAGGTATGGCAATGACGTTGAAAGTTCGATCCTGATCCAATATTATTTTCGCAATGCAATTGGTATCAAATGATAGTCGCAAGGAAGATATTTCAGAAAGTGAACCGATCTTATCCCATTCTAACATTTCACAGCACTCAGAAGAAGAATCACCGTCCTCTCTTGAAATTAAATCTTTAGGAAGGGATTGTGAAATTCATGTTGATGATTTAGAGAGTATTCAGATTGATGAAACTTGCCATCTGGTGAATCCAGACCAGCCACAGTGCCGTATATGCCTGGATAATGAAGGTGTTACCTATTTACTGTGCTGGACATGCCTTTTTCATTTCTTAATTATTATGTGTGTGAGGTGTAACTGTAAATTGGTTTTTCTTTTTATATTAATGCAGCTGAAGCCTGTGCTAATTCATTTCAGGGGAAGACTTGATTGCACCATGTCATTGCAAAGGCACTCAGAAGTATGTCCATAGGTCATGTCTTGATAATTGGAGGTCAACTAAGGTAAATGTTCGTTTCTCTCTGGCATCCATGTTTCCTCATTTGCAGAGTGATGAGCGTGGAACTTTGAGACTTGGGAAAATCATATTGAACCTTTAGATCTTTCTTGCATTGAGTACATGTATGCACGTGATAATGGTAAGTTTATGTCTTGATTCAATGATAATTCTTCAAATTCATTTTCAGGAGGGCTTTGCATTTGCTCACTGTACAGAATGCAGAGCAATGTTTGTATTGCGGGCAAATTTCCCAGCTGATCGATGGTGGTTGAGATTGAAATTTCAGTTCCTTGTTGCTAGGGACCATGCATTTATTTTTGTAGTAGTTCAGCTGGTATGGCCACCATTCTTTTCATATTAATTTAATTTGGTAATATAATATGGATGTTGGTTACATATCACTGTTGTGGGTTTTACCAGTAAGTTTCTTCCCCTTTTTTCTTCTTGTATATTTTGGATTAGGTAACTAATTGAAAAGTATGTCTGGCTATAATTGACATGATTTTCTGCGATAGCATGCACTACAAAGTGCTCTCTGAAATTGTTGGCAGTATTACCAATGCCCTATGGAAATGCTTTCCATGAAGCTGTCATTATTATTTGTTCGTTTCTTTAGTGAAGTTTGGTACTGAATGTCAGTGCAGCTATGGAAATTGAAATATTTGTTGGTGTGAAACCAAGAAGATGTAAGTAGGTTTAATGAAAAGAATCCTAGCTGATAAAAAGAAAATATGCATTTGTACTCACACATTTGCATGCATAATTATGTGTGTGATTACATGCGCACTCTTGCATAGTTGACCCAAGGTTGTCTTTGTTTGGAAATTTGCATTGATATTCTATCGAAGAACAATATGAACAGATATGGAGGGTAAATATGAGCTGGTAAACTTTTTTCTCTTCCCTTTTTGTTTGAAACACTTTAAAGGATCCTGTTTCATCGCAGCTTAGTTTCGTGTGTGCGTTTACCTACTGCTCATAAGGGATTGATTTGATGAGATAATTGGCCAAATTTTGTTTTATCATTAGATTTGTTTTTCTTTCTTAAAAAATTTAATAAATCGATGTTCTGAACAGATTGTTGCATGCTTGGGTGTGCTGGTGTACAAGTTCTATGGGGAGGAACTAAGGGAAATGTTTGGCTATGAAGAGCATCCCTATGGATTCTATACTATGGCTGGTATGACTGGTGACATCTTCAGGTCAAGAACCATTTTCGTGAGAATTTTATGCTCTCTCTTGTTGTTGCTGATTTTTACTTCTTTATTTTTATGTAGTTTTAGCAATTGTTTTGGTGGGTTTGCTCTATGGTTTCTTCATTGCTATAATATGTGGACAAAGGATCAATGAGCGCCACTATCATGTTCTTGCCAAACAAGAACTTACAAAGGTTTGGTATCTCATTCTTAAAGCATTTAGAGTTTCTAAAACCAGCTGCTATAAGGAAGAATTTAACTAGAAAACAGCTGCTAAAAATTATTCATGGTTATATTTTAGTGGTTCATTTTCTTCAAGCCAGGCAGAAAATATTTTTGGGTAATTATATATTTGTGGATTTTTTTGTACTTTTTATTTCTGGACCCTGTGATTTTCTGTGTTATAATTTACTTATCAGCTAGTTTCATGACATTGGGACCTTTCATAATGTTAGGAATATGTGGTGGAAGACAGAGAAGCTAGCAAGGATGTCCCTGAACTTGGAGCCAGTCATGTCTCAGAGCTAAGAATGTTGGGTCTTTATTAGTCTTGAATTCTCTTTACTTCTGTCTCTGTAAGAAATTTCAAACTTTTTATGCCGATCACTTTTTCAATTGCTTGGTCATCTTCCTTGCTGTAAAGATCAAATATCTTGGTTATAGATTTGATCTAAGAATACATGTCTGCATATTCCTTTTTGTACTTTTTTAGTATTGTTACCAGACCATTGTTAATCTTGGATGCTTACAATAATGTACTGCTGCGAATTTATGCATCAATGGAGCTCATTTCTTGAATTGCTCACATTTTTTTTCAGGTCTTGCTATCCTGTGCCTGGTGTTGATATGGTCTGCATGAATTTATGCATCACTCCATAGCGTGTATGATGAAATTTTTCACACTACTGTTTCAAGGTCTTACAATTCTGTGGTGTATCTCATTTTTTATCTTGGCATTTGAATTTTTAGAAACTCATGCCCAAAGATGATCTTTTCTCAATCAAACTACACAACCACAAAAGGTGTGGTTTGTCTTGTATATTTATATACATGTATGCATTTTGACTCTTGTTGTGTACTTGATCATCAGCTTCCTGAGTTTTATATGTTAAAGTGTATTGATTTACAAAAAGCATTTTCATATGTCTTGTCAGCAATGTTATGCTTACTCTTTGTTTGTCCATTGAGAATGCGTGAACTTAGCAGGAAGAGAGCTTACAGTTTTGAGTTTAGTAGTATGACAACATTGCTATGTACATAATATAACTGTGAAAACCCACGGCTAATTAGCGGAATGGCGCGGAGGATTATTGCTCTGTAAAAACATAAACTTCAGAACTTTCACTAGAAAAATAGAAAAACCTTTGAACTTCGGAATAACATCATGGTTTTGAAGTACCAGTACTGTGCTAGTTTTCACTAACATATCAATGGTTGTCCGCGGACTTTGAGAAGAAGCATCCATTTAGAAATTCCCATCAGCAGCATTGATCCAGCTCTTTGAGATGCAGTTGGCTCTCCTAATTTTTCCCTGCATAAGACAATGTCTATGGACTTCCTTAGGAAAGTGGGAATTCCTAGTAAGAGGGATTACAGCTAGCAAAGGTTGTGGACTCCATAATAAGTTGAGCAACAACCTCCAATAACGCTGCCATATACTGAAGTATGAAGCGATTGAAGCAATCCAGTAGTATTAGAAACACAACTGCGTACACTCTGAAAAGATACCTTGCATTCTGGTCTGATTCCCGGTGGCAAGAGGTCTGGTAGGGTTATACCTGCAAATGGCGCTTGGCCTTGAAAATGGAGGGGTTCGAGTTTAGGTGCATGTGGGGAATCGACTCTGCTGGAACGAGCCAACATGATGCTACATGCTGCTGTTAGCAACAAGGATGATACTAATGAAGCCCTGCTTCCCTTCATCAATACCACATTTAACTTGTCTTTTAATTTCTTCTTTCTTTTCCTGTGTTGCAGCTGAAATCAATGCTTGCTCCAAGTTGGTGACGGCAAAAGAGGGCATGGACAATTTATATGGACTGGGTTGTCCATGATGCGTGTTGAAAGCCATTATTCCATAACATCATAAAAATTATCTCATAGAGAAAAAGAAATTTAAGGTGTCCGCAGGCCCATATTTCAAACAGTAATAAGATTTAAAAGGGATTGTAGTAATTCTTTCAGTCTACCCTCTCATTGTTGCCAAGGGAAGAGCTTAATAAAAATTGGAGGTTTACTAGAAAGTCTCCGGTTTAACGATTAACAAGTATTGGATCTTGTTTCCTTGAGAATCGCTATATATATATGTCATAATCAATTTATGTTTTAAGTTCACTAATTGTACGTGGAAGTTCTGCATTAAGCTGAGCTGGTCCAGAATGAGGCCTACAATGCTGCCACGAGCAGTACATGTTGATAGAAAAAGCTTTGCTTGCGGCCATGAAAATGTTATAGGTGCCATCTTTTGCTCTTTAAACATTTCATATAGAGAAAAGCGACGAGGCTGGCCAGAGCATTTCCCGTTGAGAAACCCTTCTGATTTTCATTGAAAAGAAGAGAGCTAGTGTCTTGTCTTGGCTATGTTTTTTCTATCAAAAAACAAGAAAAAATAAAATTGCATTGGATGATCATAAGAGCAGCAGCAGCATGTGACGATAACAGTTGGCAAAGAGACGTAATATCATGGATGATGAAAATTAAGCAATTGGAATTAATATGAACGCTTAATTAATTGCATCCGTGGGATTTGCTGCCCTGTTGGTGATTGTACATAATTGCCTTCATCGAAACCTAATTTACCATAAAATAAACAGCTAGTATAAATATTTGTGCTTTGCAATGGACGCACTTCAAGACAAAGTTTAATCAGAACTAAATGAGAATGACTAGAACTGGAGAATCCTTTGATCATCAAATATCATACTAAATACTAAGAATTAATATAAGTTGTAATCATATAAACACAACCAGTCACTAGTTGAGGTTCATGTTATGTGAAAAATTTCGAAGACTGAAAACTGCTAAAGCAATAAAACTAAATGCAACAATCCTGCCAGCAGCAGCAGATGCCAATGCCACTACATCCTGTTGTCAGCTCCAGCTCCTGCTACAACACCACCAGTTGTTGGATATGTTGGGTTGATGTTATTGAAAAAGTCGTGATTGGGCAGCATATAATTAAATGGAG